CTCCACAGATTTACAAAGAACATTGAGTGATGATTAGATAACTATCCCCCGAGTCTACAGGTGGAAGCTGGGGTGGAGCTGGGGTGGTGGTGGGGCAGGCGAGCAGCAGCAACATGAAACACAGCAGCAGGAACATGAACTTCATGTTCCTGCTGCTGTGTTTCATGTTGCTGCTGCTCGCCTGCCCCACCACCACCCCAGCTCCACCCCAGCTTCCACCTGTAGACTCGGGGGATAGTNTATTTATTTGTTTAATTCCAAATCTCTGGCTTTTTGGTAGTCCGTCAGGAACTAGAATTTCAAAATAAAATAAACCAGAAACAGATACACAGCCACTGAACTGATTACCCAAGATCCTCAGCTATGGTTTAAACTCGGAGATTGGATTGTTTAGCCGCAATGCACGTTGGGATATGGTGTTTATGCGATATGAAATCCGAAAAACATTTAAAAAAAGAAAAATTATAATACTTTATTCCGAGTGTGCTTGCTTTTCTCTTTGAAAGTCATTGCATCACGGCATTGTAATACATGGTTCGGCTGCATTAAATATTACACATCTGCCTTGTTCTTTAATCATAGAGCCCTGATTAGAAGACTTCTAGACAAAGTGGAAGAACTGCCATGGAAACTGAAAACGTGACGTGGATCATAAATATATCAGCAATTAAACAACATCTTCAATTTCTCTTCACACAATACGTCTCCTCGAAATATCAACATTAATTCGGCTGACTTTTATATTTGATCCAATTCGTAGATATGTATTGCTATATTCGTACACGAAATATAGCAATACAGTTACGTTAGACACCTAGGCCTACCTCGCGTCAGTTTGGACATCCAAACGGTCGGTGCATGCTATATTTAACGTTTATCTATTTAACATTAGGCCTATACCAGTAACATTACTTCACATGTTACCTTATTAACAGTAGATGATACCTTCATGAAGCGTGTGGCAAGAGCAAAAACAATGTTCTTTTCAGGAGTGCTCCATAATCAAGATTGCTTACAGCTAGTGTATTGCTTTGACTTGCTGGTAATTGTCTTACGTCATTATAATGAGATAGTTAAATCAATATAATGAGATAGTAAGTCAATATAATGAGATAACTAAGTCAATAATGAGATATTAAGTCAATATAATGAGATAGTAAGTCAATAAAATGAGACACGCCCCACTGGGCTGGGCTGTGCCGGAACACTTACAAATGTGGGCCGGTAGGATTTGTTTTGGCCCTCCGGCCCACACACAGCACCGGCCCACCCGGGAAACTCCCGGTATTCCCAATGGCCAGTCCGCCCCTGTTTCCAGACAAACACCAAACCAAGTCTGGTCCTTGATCCTAGTTGTAAAACAGGGACTTTTAAACATTGAATCACATTTTTTTTAAAACATGAACTGTCCAAATGCAGCACAAGATATCCTCCACTTCTAGATGACAAATGTTGCTCTTATCCTTAACAGTAGGCTGAGCCGGGTCTCAACTCTTTTAGCGGAGTAAATTATATTCCTAATACCAAAAGCACTCTTGGCTCCCTCCTAAAAAAGGTCTCCATTCTGACACGGCAGTAAACATGGTGCAACCAAAAATGGCTTCTCTGTCAGGAAGCTGTCTGACCCCGCCGCCTCCTCTCTCCTCCTTCACTGCTGCAGAGGGCACAAGATTTAAGATGGTGAGGAGACAAACTAATTCACTCCAGCTGGAGGCAATGACTGCATATATGTGTGTGTGTGTGTGTGTGTGTGTGTGTGTGTGTGTGTGTGTGTGTGTGTGTGTGTGTGTGTTTTCAAGCTCTTTTAACAGCATACACACATGCATACATGTGTTTTACTATACATACAACTGAATGACTGCCCTTTTCCTTCAGCATAAAGGAAGTACTTGTGTGTGGGTGTGTGTCCTATACAAACAAAAACAAAGGACCTCCATGAAACCATCTGCAGCAGGCTCATCTATATCATCACCTCCCTTAATTGAAAAAAGCAAAATCAATGGTGAGGTAAATCAGAGAATAGATCTGATAGAAAGAAATGAACAAGAGTGATACCTGACACGAGCAGAAGGTGTCCAGGTCGTGGTGTCAGATAGCAGGTCGGTAACACCTCAGGTCTGTGTCAGGTGTGTGAGCTTGTGACAGCCCAGACTTGTCAGAAAAAGAAAAAAAAATCAATAATGACCTTTCCTGCTCACCTGTCTCTGTACGTGTATTAAAAAGTTGAATTTTAAATCAAATTTGTATTGACATTGAGATAACTCATTGCCATTCTTCTCACATTATTACGGTAAAAAGATTATTGCTCTGCAGCAGCCTCATTGGTTGTTTTCTATCTCTTTACCTGTTGGGAAAATACTGAATGTACTTTTCTAATATCAGAGTAGCACATGATAACAAAGGCCCTACGTAGCTGTATGATTACCTATGGAGTGTCAGGACACACTGTCTTATGCATAAGTACCTCAGGGATGAACAAGTGCATTAATGTCACAAACATGGTGCATACACAACTGCACACACATATCTCTTGACCTCTAGCTCGTCATTTCCTTTTCTGTGTGCAGGGGAGGAGGCTTATGATTATATGTTGTGATTAATGTAATGTGATGCAGAAAGAAGGGTTAAACCTGCAGACTGACTGCATCTACTAAGAGAGAGGGAGGATGGAGCAGGAAATCAACTGCAAAGAATAGAGAGAGAGATGCTACTAAATGTCCTTGATTCAAATAGATGCACGACAAGATGGAGGGACAAGATAGACAGAGAAAAGGAAAGAAAGAGACTGAATGGAAGAGATAAAGAGGAAGACAGGATGGAGAGAAATAAAGCATGATAAAGAAGTCTGATATATTTAGCTATACAGAGGAAGAGTAGAAAGACACACACACACACACACACACACACACACACACAGGGGCGGACCTAGCACATTTGGTGCCCACACACACACACCACACACACACACACACCACACACACCACACACACACACACAGCACACTGTTAACATCACTTCAGCGGGACATTAGCAATGCAT